CCCTGCTAGCTAAGACGTAGAATCCATAGAGCGCTAGAATGTGGGGGTTCATATGGACGTTAGCTTTGGTTACGACTCTCGTCACAGGGAAGAGCAGCTCCGGGTCGTCCGAGTACCCGACCAAATCGGGGATAAAGACATGGGTAGACCCCGATACTCCCCGTGATCGCCAAGTATACACGAGTTCTCGAGGCCGACAATGGCAACTGGTCATGAGCGACGAGTTCAACGTGGCCAACCGCAGCTTTCGACCAGGCGACGACCACATGTGGACGTCACTTGATAAACCGGACGGTGTCAATGGAGCTCTCGAGATCTACGCACACAACATGACCAGCACCAAGTGCGACGACGATGGGACTTGCTACTTTTACATCGAAGTGGACACGGACAACTATACCATTTCTGTATACAACATGTATACGCACCCGCCAGGATACATGAACTCGACGTTCTACTATCGAGCTGCCATGGTGCAGTCCTGGAACAAATTCTGTTTCCAAGGAGGCATGCTAGAGGTGCGAGCTCAGCTACCCGGAGCCGTGTCAACCGCTTCAGGCAACCCCGACCTGGCACTGGGCAAGAATGGACAAGTGACTGAGACTTCGTATTACCCGACTTGGCCCGGTATCTGGATGATGGGGAACCTCGGTCGAGCCATCTTCTCAGGATCCACCAACCGCATGTGGCCCTTCTCATACGATCGATGCGAACCCGAGATCTTCGACCCAAGTAACCAACGAATCAGCGCTTGTGACGATGATCCTGGCTACGGAATGAACCCGAACCAAGGGCGAGGAGCCCCAGAGATCGATCTCCTCGAAGGTGGCGGCTTGGCCATCTCGTCATCACTGCAGATCGCCCCAGGAATGCCCACGGACTTTCGTCTCTTCCCAGCCGACGCCAAAGGAGTCGATGCGACCAATCCGTACTGCGTGTACGCGTACAACTGCAAGACCGACGGAGCAAATTTGATCGACGTTCCAACGGACTTTTACGAGCAAGAGCGAGGCCACAAATCCTGGTACCAAGGTCTCCGATACGCGGCAAACAACAATTGCGCCAAGAAGAAAGCCAACGTGCAGAATTTCGCCACAGTCAACGCGTCTGTCGCTCGTGGGATTTCTGAAAACTCGTGCACTACCACGACGTGTCCTGCCTCCCTTGATGTGAACGGAGACTTGGATTTTATTGACGGAACCGGTAAAAACTACTGGGGGATCAACTCGAACGGCACGTGCTTCCCCATCATGAACTCGTACATGGGCGCGTATCTGTGCGATCCCGACAACACCAACGCCAGGTGCACCAGTCCTCGGAACTCCACCACGCCAAAGTCGAACGCGATGGATACTTTCAACTACCAGATGGACGCTATCTCGGCCAATTGGCCGATACATGTCGGCGCGTACACGGGCTATCTCGTCTACCAGCTGGAATGGGTCACGGGTGTGAATGGATACGCACGCTGGATGCTTCAGGGCAGTCCTCTATTCGAAGTGACGGCTGACTCGTTCTCTAACGTGCCTCAGAACTCCAACAGCAGCAACCCCCAAAAGGTCATGCTAGAGGAGCCAATGTCGATCATCGTTAACGTTGCGCTATCGAGTTCTTGGGGCACGAAGCCTCCGAACCCTGGTACTGCCTGCAGAGGAGACGGCTCGGACAAGACAGTCAACAAGATCTGCGATGAGTTCCCAATGTTCATGAAGGTCGACTACATTCGACTGTACCAGGACATGGGGGACGACTTGGAAGCTGACAACTACATGCAAGTGAGCTGCGACCCAGCGAGTCATCCGACTAAAGAGTGGATCCAAGGCCACATCGACGAGTACCAAGACGACGACAACTTGGCGACTGAAGTAATCGGTAAAGCTTTCTGTACCTCCAATAGCGACTGCACTGTCGGAGGGAATTACGCTAGAACCGACTTAATCACGGGAACGTGTGTCGACTCACGCTGTTCGTGCTCGTATCCGAAGTCGTGGGGTGGTCCTCGTTGTACTGTGGCCCAAGCAGAGTCCACGTCGTCCAAGGCGTCGACGCGATTGTACGGCCCGCCCATCCCGTTAGCGTTGGCAGTAGCTGCCGTCGCTGTCTTCCTAACGTCCATTTCAGTGTGGAGAGGCGTGTCGGCTGCAGCCAAGAGGAACGCAGCGGTCACCAAGGCGAATATGATGGCGAAGGGCGATCTAGAAACTCGAGTCGCCGGAAATCGCAATAGTAGCGACGTTTCTCACTTGTAGTAAGGGACAAATAAACCAGCTAAAGGCCGTTCCGTTACCGTTATTGAAGTGTCGATCTGGTAATGCTGGGGATCAAGGCGTTCGTACAGGAGTCGGTGCACGCGCTTCCTCCGTCTCAACTGCGTCTGCTAGCCGAGACGCTACGGGTCGATCTTCGAGGCTGTGAAGACCGACGAGACATCGAGCGGGTACTAACGGGTTTGGTTTGTCTGGACCAAGACACGTCGCTTGGAGTTTTCCTCGCGTGGCTCCGCTCTGCAGATTTGCAACAGCACAAGAATGGGATTCTGGCCAGCAAGAAGCAAACGTTCAACAATACGTTCCTACCAGCGATCACAGAGACCCGACCCACCAACC